ATTAAAAAAATCATCAACTCTTGAATGCCGGCGGTAAAACAATATCAACTGCTTTCAAGCAACGTTGCTCTCATTATACCAATTACTCTATTATTGTCAATGTTATATAGAATATCTTTTTCACGCATACATATTTTCAGCATACAATACAGTTTCTGTATGATTTGCATGATCTTGCTTTATTAACCTCTTCATCGACTTCATCACAAAATAATTCAATTCTATCTTCTGTTAAAATATCATCAAAAATTTTCCACCTTTTTTGAAAATCTTCAACTTTCAAAATTTTTTTTGTAATTTCACTTTCAAAATTTTGTAACTTGAGCTTTCAAAGATTCCTTTGTAATACTTTTATTTAAGTTTTAATGTATTAAATTGGTTAAAGATTCAAAAATGTGACTAGGTATATTAATTTATGGGAAACCATTTAGGTCTAAATAGAATATATCATTATAAAGAGGATCATTTTTATAAAATTGTTTAGTTATGTTATTAGTAACTGCATCCATTATAACATTATATACACGTAGGAATTCTATCATTAGAATTATCCGTTCTATTGCTTTTATATGTTTGACATAACATTGTTTTAATTTGAATTTGTATTTCTCTTTTGTCTAGTCCTTCATTGGCAGCCAATGCAAAATTTACTGCTGCTTGGACAATATCAAAATTTCTTGTTAAAAAGATTATTAGTCGTATTTTTTACCAAATACAACTGCAATATCCATACTTGCTGTTTGTAACTATGACGACAAAGATGTTGTTTCTTCAAGTATTCGTAAAAATATTTAAGCTGTTAAAATAATATCAAATTTTAGAAACACATTCAAAATAGTTTTTCCTCGAGGTCTAATTTCTTTGTTAAACTTTTAGGAGATTTGATAGAAAGTCTACAAAACATCGACAAAAAATATAATTTTAGATGTTCTATTAAATGTATCAAACATTTTTTCAATGCCTTATCTTTGACCCACCAACAAGTTTCTCATAGCAGAAATAAACTTAAATTTACTAAATTCTTGCCATACGTTGAGTAGTTTATATGATTCTTTTAAAAAACCGCACATGTATTTAAGATACCAAATAGTAAGATGGCATCTTTTGTTTTTTGCGTGATCTCCGTGATAACTAAATTTAATAAATGTGCATAACACCAAGTATAAACTTGATTTGGTGAAACTTGATTTAACCATGCACTAAAAACTTTATATGTACCTTGCATGTTTGCTGCACCAGGGCCAACGACACCGGGGGAAGGAAAGGGAGGCCAGGGGGCACTGGTCCCCCACATTTTTTCTAAAGACCAAATCTTTTTTCTTTATTTTAAGAAATTTCTACATATATAGGGCTTTTTTAAAAACTGATGATTGCGCCCCTCGGTTTCGAAACCCGTGTTGTCGGGCTTGCAATTACCGATACATTTATTAAAATCAATTTTTATATTTTTCAAAATTCCGCATTATAAGTTGCAGATATTTTCTCAAGTTTTTGAAGTTCAATTAACAACGGCTATTAATTGTTTATGTACACGAACCTCTTTAGTGTATCTTATAGTAACTGAAGATTGATCTACTACGTTAACATCTAGGGTGGTGTCTACTACGTTAACATCTAGGGTGGTGTCTACTACGTTAACATCTAGGGTGGTGACTACTACGTTAACATCTAGGGTGGTGTATAATTGAATACTGTATATTTCGGCTTATTTATTTCATTTGAGAGAATTTCTTTAATTAGAAAATTAATAGCATTAATAACAAAATTTGCTGTAGTTTTAAATTATAGTGTTACAAGGTTACTCCTTGATTTGTTTGTGCCAATTTTGTCACAGTGGTTTTTACTTTTTTTACACATTCTTGTATGTGCATTTTTTATAAGAGATCAAACTTACTTATTAATAAAAGTAATTCTACTAAAAACGCTATGGTCTAAATTTTTGTCCAACAAATTGAATGCAGATTTATTTAAACTCCGATAACTAAGTCCTCATTTTCCAATGAATTTTATAGTTTCAATTAATCATTCGAGTATTTGTCGATTTCTATTGACATTTACTTAGTTCTGTTTATTAAGTATACTGAATATGTCTTTATCGTTGGTTTTTAAAATGTATGCTTCGGTATATGAAGTATGAAGTGAAGCAGTTTCATGTTTTGTAATTCTTTGACAATAAAACTTATCTCTTGTAACTTTTAAAGTTAATTAATTACGTCAAAGACTGTTTTTCCGAAAACAAACTTTTTGATCATTTAAATAATGAATTGGATGAAATTGAAGAACATTTAAAAAAAAGTTTACGCCTCCTTCCTTACCGATGTTATAAAATTTGCCCAGAGGTGTCGTTGAACCATGGATTTTTAGCTTCTGGGGTTAGGGCGCTAACTAATGCGCTACGGCTGCTCACGGTTGCACTGATAGAGCGCTTCTTAGGTGCAGATTTCGGACGTAAATTCTATATTGTCATACCTCTGGTTCACCGAAAGTTATTACAAACTTT